AACCCAAACCCTAGCCCCCCACCTCCAGACGGCCCCCACCCTCACCCTCACCCTCCAACCTACCCCAAATAAATACACCATTTGTCTCACCTTTTTTATGCATATCAAGTCTTAACATCAAGTCATCAACCACCACACACAAAATCAAGAGTTCCTGCAAATACATGGGTCTATGATTCTATTTTTTCATCGTTTTTAAAGGAAAAAACTGTCTGAGGATATGCGATTGGCTTGCGTTTGTCAAGATAAGGCGAGAGAGCTCGGGAGACAAGCGGCAAGCGGGGCGTGTCCTCACTGCGAAGGCCGAGTGGAAGCCGTGGATATGGAGACCAAGTGGAGGTTTTGCTGCCTGCCGATTTCGTACGTCAACAAACGCAAGTATTTCTGCACTTCGTGTTCGCGACGGTTGGTCTTGTACGATTGTTATTAGTGTCGTTGTGGTTCGAGGCTTCAAAACGAGCTGAGTTGATTCTAAGATGTATAATTTGAAAAGGTAGTGTTGGTACGTAGACATTTGAGGAACGTTTTTTATTTGTAGATGTAAGTGTGAAAAATATTGATACGTTTTATGACTTGATGTCGTCGATACCAACGTTCTGAAAGTGGGTTCTTTTTCGCGATCCTAGAAATCATACGAGGTTAGTGCAATCACGTTCATTACAGAAAAAACTAAAAGCCATGTTTCACAACCGTAAATTAGCGTATTTTTTAAAATTGGAAAAAAAAAACTTTGTTTGGTACAGATTTAAGATTTTTAAAAATCTTTTTCTCCAACAGATTCTCTAAATAGAAAAAAGTAAAGATTTTTTTCCCCAACAGTTTAAAAGTTTATTTAAAATTTATAAAATAAAAGGAAATTATTTTATATAAGATTTAATTGAAATTTTATTGGTATATTAAATATATTAAATATTTTTAATAATATAATTAATATTAAAATATATAAAATAGAGAATCTTTTAAAGTTGAATGTAATTTTATCGTATTGATTCTCTAATTTAAAGAAATCATGAAGAATTTGTTTGAAATGCTCTTAACTAGCTTTTCAGTTTCAGATAACTCTTTTATAAGTTTCTAGTGTTCTTTTTTCACTTTTTCTTCTGAATGTGTTCTTTGTGTTATAATTCAGTAATTTTTCAACATTCCTTTTAGATCATTAAATACTGCCATCTTGATAATCCGTCAAACTTACTTGGACGAGGTCAATGAGTGATCAACAACTCTCATGGTCTAGGTTGGTGACCTCCATTGCACTGTGGAGGGGTGTTTGCCTAAGGTCGACCCAAGTGGTCGAGTTTACGTCATAAATCATCAGACATTTTTTATGAAACAAGTCTATTTTTATATGTGCCGGTCTAGCCTCTGTTAGGTGGGGCATGTTGGAGTCCCGTGTGGGTTAGAGTTTGACCATTTATCCTTATTATATGTAAGGAAGCTTTTTTCTTTTTTCAATAACTCTTTTAAGAAGTAATCTAATGGGGTTGCATATATCCAGTGTTCAAAAAGGCACGTCATCGTGATATGATGTAAGACGCGTCTCCGACGTTATGGTACTGCCTATAGCGTTTCTGTAAGGGGTGGCTCACGCCACGGTGTCTTGAGTCGTGCCATGCGCATCCTGGAGTGCGTTTTTTTACAGGGCATGATTTTTTTTTCAAATTTTTTTTGCTTTTATGTTCTTACAGTTTTGTAGATTTATCTAATCGCATCACTTAAAGTTTCATGGATTCATACACGTCATAGACTCACAATTAAAACAAAGTTGTAAAATTACCCATTTAAGTTTTGTTTTAAATATTTAATCTAATACTAATTTTATAAATAATAATCTATATGATCTTTTTTTTTTAATATGAATGTAATTTTTTTTAATATCATTAGCTAATTGAATATTATATAAAAGACATATATGTATGTAGCGAAGAATCGTGTAAGAAGGAGAGAAGTGTAAAAGGGGATTCCGACCCTTGATTATTTTTAATCTCTTGCACACCTATGAATTGTGTTTCTCAGGGGAATTGATCTGGTGCTTCTCATCTCGTTGCATCTCATACTAATGTGCATCCAAGGGCGGAGATCCCTTCTTACACTTCTCACATTAAAACTCTTTCTTAGAGGAACCCAACCCTATGCGTGTGCGTGTGCGTGTGTGTGTGTATATATATATATGAGTGATCAAATGTAAACCACCCATAATTGTACAAACGTAGAAAAAGTTGGCAGCGAATACATTCAACAAACAAGAACGAGAGGTCCGATCTGATTAACCAGCCGTAGCAGTAAGTGCTAACCGCTTATTGCCCTTACTTGCGGGGTAAGACTAGTGTTATCACTCTTACCGGATAAGATTTTTTAGTTCTTACCCGTAAAATTTAGTAACAAATCCCTAAGTAAAATTTATTTTCGCCTCAAGATTTTCTTTTTTCGAACTATCATCAAAATTTTATTTATATTTTCTCTGTTTTCTTCTACTCGTATAAACATCAGTAGTCAATCATGGGTCAAATCAACATTAGAGAGAGGATATGTATGTGCACGACTCAAAATTTTGTTTCCATGAATTTACGTTGCAAGTGTGCAGAAAACGTTTTATTAAACAAGCAATTGAAAGTCTCGTTGAGTTTCAAAGATAACAAACGAACCCTGACGTTATTCTATGAACTAATATGAGAAATTAATTAAAATAGCCGTTTTGACAGGTGGGTTTCATCTCTTAGCCACTGCTCTCCCAAAATTACGAAAATAGTCATAGGTCCATAATTGACAGGTCCCCAATTTATGGAGCTGATAAAACTCATGCATCCTCTTCACTTTTAGGAAGATTGGAAACCAGTATTTTGATTAAATAATATTTTAATAAATTATTTTTCAAAAAAGATATTTTATAAAATTAAAATAATCATTTTTAATTTTTTGTTATTATTATTATTTAGACATAACAAGTGCCAACAACTTTGTCTCTTTGATTTAATGCATTAAATGTCAAACGCTGTCTTCTTAAAGATAGCATTTGGTTGTTGAGACTTGACTGATAACAAAATTCGGAAATGATTTGAAATTGATTTCAAATGTCAAAAGTATCAGGAGGTTCTAGATTCAAATCTTAGAAGGAATAAAAATCTTTTTGTGGTCACGGAGGTTCAAATATGGTGATTCCGGGCTATCTGCAAAGCAGTTAGTCGTCCTGGGATAAGTCGGCTCGCATAGCAGGTTGAATATCTAAGTTAATAAAAAAAATTGAAAATAGAAAAAGTGGTAAATAAAGCATTTTTGCACTTTTGTAACCTTTTTTTATATATTTAACTGTTAAATAATATTATTTTATTTTAAAATAAATATTCACATCAGTAATGGATCCAGAAACTTAGATGAATGGATATTAAAAAATTGGAAACTGAATATGTGGTTTCGAGTTGTTCCGTTCGGGAGTTAAAATGGTTCGGTTAATTGAATAAGGTAAGTTTCGATTTCGGTTGGCCTGGAATAAAGCAAATTATACTACTATTTTATATAATTTTGTTCTACATAAATTGGTTTGAGCATATGTAAAGTTTAACATTAGGTGAATTGATTTATCATTTAACTAGCGGGTCGTTCACCAAACGTTTATCCGGGTAAGCGCTTACCAAATCACATTACCTTACCGGATGAATATAGTAATGACCAAAAATCTGACCCGGTAAGAGTGAGACAATGACCAAGAGTCTTACCCGGTAAGTGAGGGCAACGACTTTTACCACAGTAAGCACTCACCGGGTAAATTGTTACATGCGATGTCGTTTTGGTGGACTAAAATCTTACCCGATAAGTAAATAGTATTATTAATTCTACATGTAAGCACTTACTGAGTAAATATTTTGTAAACGGCCCCTAAGAGAACAAGAAATTGATATAAGTCTGTCCCTGTCCATGCTAACCCACAAAAAAGGATTTCTACCCAACAAGAAGGATACTTTAACCACAAGGGTGGTGCAAGATTAGTTTGAGCTTGGACTCCAAAGGTCAAAATGTCTGGAGGTCCTAGGTTTGAATCCAAAGAGAAATAAAAATCTTCTTATGGTCATGGAGGTTCGAATCTAAAGAGAAATAAAAATCTTCTTATGGTCATGGAGTAGTCGTGCGGTGAATCCGGGCTACCCGCAAAACGAGTGTCACCCTGGGATTAGTCGGCTTGCATAGCAAGTTGAGTATCCAGATTAATTTAAAAAAAAGGATACTTTAGATCCTCTTTGGAATTAATAGTGTGATGTGAAAGAGTCTTGGCTTGGTCGGTGTGGATACTATTCTCGAAGTCAGAACTATCCCTATCATGAGAGCTAGCAATCATCGGTATGCTTATATTGGTGATGTTATTGTCGTTGTGATTAAAAACACAATTCAAACATGCGTCTAGAAAGATTGATGGTTATGGGTGAATCATAGTAAAGCGGAAAGGAAAGCCTATCAAAGAATATTATCGTCGTCACCAAATATGAGAAATAAGCTGCTACGATTTGGTTTCTCCCTCACGTCATTCGTCCCAGGGACCAGGGGCGGATGGCCATAGGGGCCTTGGCCCCTGTTTTTTTTAAATACAGTAAAACATCTCCAGTCCATTAAGGTTTTAAGTATAAAATTCTTTTCGGCTCCTCCACTATTGCTGATTCAGCCCATTAGTGTTATGCCTCTGCCAGGGACTCCGGTGTATAATGACACGGAGTTTAAAAAAAATGTAATTATTATACTTTTATATTAAGTAAATGATAATTTTACTCTTAATAATAAATATATGAATTTTGTCATCTTATAATTAAGGGTATAATAAAAAAAATAAACATACTTTTGAAATAAACTAAAATAGAAATGTAAAAACTATTTTGGAACAAATAAAGTATCTGGTTGTGATAAAGTAATTTTCGAACGTCTGTAAGATCGACATTTTGAATGTTAGCAAACGTCTAAAAAAAGCAATTTTTTTCGTTTAAAAATAATCTTTGAATACTTAGGGGCCGTTTACCAAACGCTTACTGGGTAAATGCTTACCAAGTCACATTGCCTTAGTGGATGAACATTGTAGGGACCAAGAACCTTACCCGGTAAGAGGGAGACAAGAACCGAGCGTCTTACCCGGTTAAATGAGAGCGACGACTCTTCCATGGTAAGCGCTTACTGAGTAAATTGTTGCATACGTGTTGCATACGATGCCGTTTTGGTGAACTAAAGTCTTACCCCGTAAGTAAGTGGTAGTGTTGAATTTTGTCGATAAGCGTTTACCGGGTAAGTGTTTGGTAAACGACCCCTTATTAAAAAAATCGTTTTACAACACACTTGAAATTGAAATACATTTACGAATTTTTTTTCTTCAAAGAATTCAAGGATTCTCTTTCGTTCTATAATTTGGACAAAAAGTTGATTATAGACAATCTTAACCAGTCCTATACGGAACCTGCCTCCTAGGACATTAATATGATGGGACATTTTTTGGTTCACTCAACAGTTGACCCTAATGGAGGGTCCAGGATCGAAACCGGGTCCCGTATTGTATTTGGACAAAGCCACCCACCCCTTCAATATATCTGATTTTGATCAATGGAACTTATTGATAACAAAATTTTGGTGGAAAACAATGTCTTCCTTGTCTAGATTTGATCTTCAGTTAAATTTATGCAACCGTGACACGTTTTCCATTGCACCCGTTAACATGTATACCAATTGTATCCTTTATGTTGATACCAACTTAAGTGGTATCAAGTTGATAGTCGTATGTCATGGTAGTACCATGGTACCGACTTATTTTAATTATTTATTAGTTTTTTGTATTTTTTTTATACATTAAATATTAAACATTGTAACTTTAACTATTTTGTTTCAACATTTGAATGTTTGTAAGTTTTACTTCTTGCAATTTAAAGCCTTAAAACATTATTAAACAAAAATGCACGTTTTCATATTTGAAACTTGAAGTTGGTAGCTTATTGTATTTTTTTTTCAATTATAACATTTATTAATATTAATTATTATTTATTACTATTAATTATAAATAAATATGAATAAAATTTAAA